CTTTACTTGACTATCATATAGCCATCCCAGCTCTCTCTCTGTTACTATTTGCATACAACATCTTTTTATATCCTTTCACTCTTAAATTCTTAGTGTCTTTGTATCTAAGGTGAGTCTCTTGTAGAGAATATATAATGTATCACATTTTTTATGAAATCAGCCAGCATCTGATTTATAATCAGAGAGTTTAACCTATATACACTTCAAATACTTACTGATAAGAAAAGATTTACTCCTGCGTTTTAGCTTTTTGTCTGTATATTTTGTATATTATATTCCTCAGTTCCTCCATTATTGCCTTTTTTTGCATGTAGTTGAATGTAGCGTACCATTTTGATTCCCTTCTTTCCTTTTCTGTATATTTTCTAGTTATCTACTTAGTAGTTATCTTGGGGATTACAATTAACATCTTAAGCTTATAACATGCTAGTTTGAATAATACCAATTTAGTTCCAATGGTATACAAACATTATGTTCCTATGCATCTTTATCCCTCGCCCTTTATACTATTATTTGTCATGGATTACATCTTTATACATAGTGTACCCATTAACAAAGATGTATAATTATTGTTTTATGCATTTGTCTTTTAAAGTATGTAGGGAAAAAAAGAGGAGTTACAAACCAAAAGTACAATATACTGACTATATATTCACCTATGTTCTTTATTTCCTGACCCAGTGTTCTTTATTTCTTCTTATGGCTTCAAATTACTATCTAGTATCTCTTTATTTCAGCCTGAAGAACTCCCTTAGCATTTCTTTTAGGGCCAGTCTACTGGTAATGAATTCCCTCAGCTTTTGTTTATCTCAGAATGTCTTAATTTTTCCTTTATTCTTGAAGGATAGATTTGTCAGAAATAAGAGTTCTTGGGCCGACCCGGTGGCGCACTGCTACAGTGCGCCGCTTGGGAGTGCAGCGGCGCTCCCGCCGAGGGTTCGGATCCCACATACAGACCGGTTCCCGCTCACTGGCTGAGGGAGGTGCAGGCGCAGCACCGAGGGTTGCGATCCCATTGACGGTCCCGGTCCGGTCCGGGCGCGACACTGAGGGTTGCGATCCGTTGCAGGACACGAAAAAAGACAAAAAGGAAAAACTGAGGGTTGCGATCCCATTGACGGTCCCGGTCCGGTCCGGGCGTGACACTGAGGGTTGCGATCCGTTGCAGGACACGAAAAAAGACAAAAAGGAAAAAAAAGAAAAGAAAAAAAAGAAATAAGAGTTCTTGGTTTGATTTTTTTTCCTTTCAGGTCTTTAATTATGTCATACCATTGCCTTTGAGCCTCCATAATTTCTGATGAAAAATCTGCTGTTAATCTTGTTAAGTATCCCTTGTGTGTGATTAGTCTTTTCTCTCTT